AATCTGACACACAGATACGTAGTTGGAAAAGGAAAAAGTATTAAAAAAATTTTTTTTAATGTTTATTTTTGAGAGAGAGAGACAGGGTGCGAGCAGGGGAGGGACAGAGAGAGAAGGAGACACAGAATCCAAAGCAGGCTTCATGCCCTGAGCTGTCAGCACAGAGCCCAACGTGGGACTCAAACTCATGAACCGTTAGATCATGACCTGAGCCTAAGTTGGGCGCTCAACTGACTGAGCCACCAGGCGCCCTAAAAGGAAAAAGTATTTTAATAGCCTTTTCAGATAATCACGGATCTTTTTTCGATACCATACCAAAACTTAACAAGGTTAGTTTCTGAAAGGTCAGTAGCAATATGGAATTTTAAACATATCAGTGAATTTTTTTGTACTTGGTTAGATTAAAATCCTTTTGTCTTTCTTGCACCTTGGTAGCTCTTTTACTCAAGCATAATTTGTATCATCATGCGTCGGTCATTTGGAAAATACCAGTTCACCAAATTATATGAATTTTCTAAATACTGATATTCTATGAAATATGAAATACAGTATAAACAGTCCACGTCTGTTAATGTTCCCTCCAGTCACATGCAGAATGTCGCTAAATCATGGGGAGCTATTAAGCTCACAGTGATAGATCCTAGTTTCCCCACAGTTCTGATTTTAACTTGAAAGCTCAACTTTTATTACAGGAGGCAAAGGCTGTCCATTGTTTTTCTTAAAGTGATGTGCTGCTTTTGTTCATATTCGAGAAGATGTCTGCCAAACACCCAAGCCTGAATTACCATAATTTGCCAGTCATTCTTCCCAGTAAACATGGTATTCCACACAAAAGACCTTGGTTCAGTTTGCAACTTAAACTACAGCACAAGGGCTTTTCCCAGGGTCACTTTTGTACTTCAGTGGTCGGCGGGGGTGCCTTCTGAGTGCTCGCTGTTTTGAAACACAGAATATTAACTAACCATGTATTAGTGGTTGGGACTTAATGAAATTAATGATTTGTACTGCATCAAGAATATTCTTAAGTGAAGCTGGCGTATTTATTTATTTATAAAGTGGGCTCCACATCCATCACGGAGCCCAGTGCAGGTCTTGAACTCACAACCCCGAGATCAAGACCTGAGCTGAGATCAAGAGTTGGATACTTAACCGACTGACCCACCCAGGTGCCCTGAAGCTGGCATTTAAAAAATTCCGACGAGTACTGGTACATTTTGGTACCAGTGCCTTCACTGGTGTGAAAGAGCTGAGGTTGACCCACTATTGCTTTTGTATCATTGATACAATTGTCAATATAGTAAGGAAGGCAAATAATGTCTTAGTATTATTATGAAAATAATTTTGACTCCATGGACCCCGTAGGAGGATTTCAGGGGAACTGACAGCTTACACTGTCATATTTAATGTGGATGCTTTAATAATCATGGATCATGATGTTAAATAGTTCAAAACCCGTGTATATACAGCTGGGTCTTGAGAAGCTGTGTCTGCTTTTTCATCTGTGGCTGCCCCAAGTCAGAAGAAGGACCAAGGCTATTATACAGTGGTATTAGCATTTGAGGAGGAGGAACATGGCATTAATTTGAACTCTATAGCGTTTGTTTTTACTTTTTTTCCTCAGGAACAAGTGCTTCCTTGAGAGGATTCCTGAGAGAATTTGGTTGTTTTGATTTATAGGCTCATACAAAATACATATACTGTGACTCATCTGAATTAGAGTATCTTAAGGAAATTACGTGTAGCTGCTTGCCTTGCTCCTGCCTGGCTCCTATAAACTTTTACTGAATATCTAGTTTACACTGAGCTTATGCCAGGAATGAGAAAGAGTGGTTCCCAGCCTCCAGGAGCATAGAGAAGAGTGCTTGAATGCAGCGTGATGAGCGCTGTAGCAGAAGTTAGTGCGAGGTGCTCTGGGAAGCTTCGCAGGACAGGAGCTGTCGCAGGTGGTTTTAAAGGAAGTGTGCTGGTGCCTGGCAAGGAGTGGAGACACGAAGGAGAGGAGAACATAGTGCTTTGGGGGATAGGGAGTGGCCAGACGCCACGGTGGTAACACAGGCAGGGCTGGAGCTGGAGGCTGTGGCCGGAGAAGAGAAGGGTCTTGCTGGGATTTGATCTCATAGACCAGAGGTTCTCAAAGCCTAGTCCTCAGACCAGCAGCATTAACATCTCTGTGGAACTGGTTAGAAATTCAGATACCTGGGCCTGGCCTTTAGACTTTCGGTGGCAAGTATTCTGGGTGGAGGTAGTCTGTTTAACTAGCCCTCTAGGGGACTGCCTGGGCCAGGGGAGAACAGACCAGGCTCTTTAGGTGGCCTTGAAATTTAGAAAGGTCACCCTGAGGGCCCTCTAAAAGGTGGGACGGTGTGGGGAAGTTAGGGACCGTGTGTTTTTGTGGATGTGATGCAGGCCTGGACTGATGGCAGTAGGAAGGAAGAGAGGGTGGATTTGCTGGAGATGGATTCTTTAGGACTTTATTGCTCGTCCTGTTGCTAGTCAAAACCTGAGAACACGGCTGCTCTTGTCTCTGTGACCTGCGAGCAGTCAGGGATGGGGCTTTTCAAGGCCGTTGATTCTTGTGTCTTCAGGCAACATCTTTTACCCATAGTGAAAAGATCAATTCAGATAACTTGCCTGCACCTCTTCAGTCTCCTTTTTGAGGTGCCTATGCAACTATAACTAGGATGATGGCCCCTGGAGGGATAAAGTTGCACACGCGGGATCCAGAGTCTTAGAAAGGACAGCATGGTGTGGGAGAATAGAGGGGAGGATTTCATTCAGACACACCCAGCTCCTAGCAAGTTGCATAAGTGTTACATGGCGTTCAGCCTCTTGTGTTGTGTGCTGTCCATAAGCTGGCTGGGCGTGCCCTTTTGCTATGAGAGTTTTAGCAAGCAGTAGCTCCACTTGACATCTATATATGTGTGTGTAAAGATGGGGCCTCCCAGTTTCTGTTCAGCTAGAACTTCTCTTCTTCAGAAGTTCAAGTTCTTTTGTTCATATCCTGTTTTGTTTTTACAGATTTGTAAGACTCCAGGGCCTTCAAGCTGTGATCAGTCAGACGGTTCCTGAAACGGCTGGGAAAGAGGTGCTTTGGTGCCCATCGAAGAGCGCATGTCTGTGCATATCTAAGCCCTTCTTTGTACACATACACGTTTACACAGGAAGACAGGCTCACTCTGGCGCACACTTGAAGAGTTTTACAACTGATGAAAATTAATGCAAGACTCAGATGGAGCAACCTGACGCTGTGGGGCTCAGGAGCCTGGGGGGAGGAGGACGCTACTAGTGGTCAGTTTTCCACACGCTCTTCGCGGTTGAAGAAAGTTTGCAGAAAGAAGAAAAGGAAACTTGCTCAGCTCAAGCCTCAGAAGCACCTCCCCAGGGTAAAAAGAGGGCTTGGTGAGAAGGTGGCCGGCAGTGAAGTGTGGCTTCAAGCAGCACAGGAGGGGTCATGCAGTGAGTTTTGCACTTTATTTTCTAGTGGTTTTGGTGATCTGGACAGACTTCAAAACTCTGGACTGAGAAGTAACTCTGGCTGTGTGGTCGTGACTTCAGGAAAGCAAGGTCAGGTATGATGGGACAAGTCTGAACAATGGACTGGTTCCTTTGCCTTTTTCAGTTAACTATATTCTCGACATTTTAATTTATTATTTCCCTTTTCCTTTTCTGTATCTATAGGGTAACATTTCAAGGTAGCAGTTGAAACCAGTATTTATAAAATAAATATCAAGGAACATCCAAGCAAAGCTGCTTTTCTTTGGACTGTACATGTGGCATTTGGAAGCAGTCTCTGAATGTGAGCAGGAGAGCGCCCATCAGAAAACATGCTGACTCTTTAGGGAACAGTCTGGAAGAACCCGACTCTTGCCTGTATTTTCATTTTAAGGGATTCCCTTCCCTGTTGAGTCCAAGAAGACTTGCATATAGGAGGAAGATTACTTGATGGACTTAATTCTGAGATTAGTCTTTTCCTTCAAGATGGAAAAATATGTGATCTTTAGGAGCAGAAAGGGGAGAGGCAAATAGGGAGGGAGGAAGGAGACGGGACAAAAGAGACAGAATCCTGTAGTGAGGCCCGCTTTTGGCGGCAAGAGGATTTAGGATTCACTCAAGGCAAACACTTGTGCCACTTAAAGAGCTTTAGAACCTTCTGGCCCTGCGAGTGAAGGGATTTTCTCTCTCCGCCTCCATGACACCAAGGAGTGCACTGGTTTATCGGGGGGAGGTCAGATGGAGCCCAGCTCCTCACCAGGACATAGCCACCTGCCTGCTGGGAAGTCAGGCCGGGCCCTGAGGTGGGAAGTTTCTGGTTCTGAACAGTGGCAAGAGTCTTTTTCTTCCTGAACTTGGACTGCTGTCTGCACAAATTCTGGTCTGTTTTTGCACGGTTTGTGTGCCTTTTTTCCCCTTTATGCAATCTTTTTCAGCTTCAGCAGCAGAAATTTGTCTAGTTGAGAAAACATGCCAGAGGGTGGCTTCAGAAGGAAGATGATCCCATGTGTTCTGTCTCTGCATCTGAAATTTTAAAGAGAAAATTCCAGCTCGAGGGATTCTTTAAAGCCTTAAGTTACTTGAAATCTATGTATTTGCAACCCTTTGTCTCTGGAATCATATTACACTAAACTGGAATCTCAGGCTGAACGAGAATAACCAAGTTGAGTTAAGAGAAGAAAACTTAGTTTCTTGATCGGCACATGTTAATGATGCTCTTCTTCCTCTAAGGACTTGAAAAGAAAAACAAACGCATGTTGTTTTTAAGCATTACCTTTTCTTAGCAGACTGCCATCATCTTTTCTAGAGGAATTTTTTCACTATGCATTTGGTGGATCTTTATAAAATACTGGCCTTCTGATTAGATCCAGGTCAGTCTTGATTAAAAGGGGTCAGGGAAAACAACGCAAGCCAACCACAAAAATCCAATCAACTAATGAAAAGAATTGGTTTAAGTTTCCTGGCATTCAGCATTACTATTTAAATAAAAGAGTTCACTGGAAAAAAGTATGTATGCAGCGGTGGAGCATGGGCCTGTCCTTTGCAGCGACTCCAACATCCTCTGTCTGTCGTGGAAGGGGCGCGTTCCCAAGAGTGAAAAGGAGAAGCCAGTGTGTCGGCGGCGCTACTATGAGGAGGGCTGGCTGGCCACAGGCAACGGCCGCGGCGTTGTTGGGGTGACCTTCACTTCGAGCCACTGCCGCCGGGACAGAAACACTCCCCAGAGAATAAACTTCAACCTGCGGGGCCACAATAGTGAGGTGAGCTGGGGCTTTGTTGCACTTTTGTCTGGTCACTTGTCGTGGTCTTTCTGAGCCCCCTCCCTGTGGATTCAGAATTTGCTTCATTTTCTCAACTTGCTGCCAAGGCAGACTTTTCAAACTCTGAATTCTGGTTTCTGTGTCCCAGTGGGAACATGTTAAGGTGGACACAGTTCCTGCTGGCCTGTGTCCCTCTCCGAGTATGTCCATTCTCTTGGATGCCCCTCACTCTCCTTTCCCACCGGCAGGGATACCAGTGCAGCTTTCTGCCCAGGCTGAGCGGTTAGATTAGATGATTCTGACCAGTGTATCATGCGTGTCAGCCTTTTTGGTCACCCTGTATGCATAGCCAAGAGTTACTGGCCTGTGTCAGACTGGCAGTGTAAACAATGAAAGTAATGCCATCTTCACCTTGCACAGTTAAGATCTGCCTTGCTCCGTATGATGGTTTAACACCTAGCATGTATTTCTTGTACTTGAAGGTGCAAAAGAAAGGAATTCATTGGACAGAGGTGACAGAAGTAATTAATTGGACAAGAGCCATAGTTTTTCACATTTATTGGGTATATTATATTGAGGATATTATGCTGTGTATACATACATACATACAGGTACCTCTGGACTTCTAAAACATAAACTGTCACTACATGTGAAATTCATTCAACCAGTGTTTATTGAGCAATGTTTAAGTGTTAGGTACTGTCATGGGGCGCCTGGGTGGCGCAGTCGGTTAAGCGTCCGACTTCAGCCAGGTCACGATCTCGCGGTCCGTGAGTTCGAGCCCCGCGTCAGGCTCTGGGCTGATGGCTCAGAGCCTGGAGCCTGTTTCCGATTCTGTGTCTCCCTCTTTCTCTGCTCCTCCCCCATTCATGCTCTGTCTCTCTCTGTCCCAAAAATAAATAAACGTTGAAAAAAAAAAAATTAAAAAAAAAAAAAGTGTTAGGTACTGTCTTGAAAAGAAGAGATGTACTTACATAGCGTGTTAACAGGATTCATGCTTCACTGTTCAATAGCTTATTTGTTTTCTAAGGTGGAATCCATCATAAAGCATCCATATATGGCTATTGAATAGTTGTAAAAGTGGGAGAATATTTTTGAAGTACATCATCATACAGTAAAGTGTATTCGTCTTAAGCTTACATCTCAGTGATCATTGACCTGTGCAGTCATCCATGTAACCTCCAACCAGATCAAGATGTAGAACATTTCCAGCATCCCTCACAGGTACCTGCTGGCCCTTCCCAGGTTGTGCACCCTGCTGAGAGGTGACCCAGATAAGTTGGGCCTGTGCTTGAACTTTGTGTTAATGTAAACTTCATGCTCATTGATCATATACCCTTTGTGTCTGGCTTTTCTCACTCACTGTGATATTTGTGAGATTCATCCCTGTTGTGTGTGCTATTAGTTTGTTCTTTTTGTTTTTTGTTTTTTTGTTTTTTTTTTTTTTAATTTTTTTTTTTTCAACGTTTTATTTTATTTTTGGGACAGAGAGAGACAGAGCATGAACGGGGGAGGGGCAGAGAGAGAGGGAGACACAGAATCGGAAACAGGCTCCAGGCTCTGAGCCATCAGCCCAGAGCCTGACGCGGGGCTCGAACTCACGGACCGCGAGATCGTGACCTGGCTGAAGTCGGACGCTTAACCGACTGCGCCACCCAGGCGCCCCTAGTTTGTTCTTTTTGATTGATGTTGGTTTTCCATTCAAGGAAGAAACAATTACTCCATTTCTATATTGAAGAGCATGTGGGTTGCTTCCAGTTTTTGGCTGTTATGGCCAAACCTGCTCTGAACATTCATGTCTTTTTATGGATCTGTGCATGCACAGTGTAATTTTCAGGTCGTGGTGCAGGTATACATTTAAATCACCAATTTTCCAAAGTGGTAGTGCCATTTTATGCCCCCACTTATCAGTATATGAAAGTTTCAGTTGTATAAAAAGCTTCTTTTGAATTTGAATTTTTCGTATAAAAAAGTTTCCGTTGTATAAAAAGCTTCTCTTGAATTTGAATTTGGTTGTATTTAAGGAATATTTTATGAATGCCTCTGTACTTAACTGCACATACACACATGCACACATATACACATACATATGCATACACACACTTTTTATGCTTATGCCAAGCCTGGTCCTATTTTTGCACCACTGTGCATAGTGATGATCAACTTTATTTTTTTTAATGTTAATTTATTTTTTAGAGAGAGCGAGAGAGAGAGAGCAAGCACGCATGAGTGAGGGGAAGAAAGAGAGGGAGACAGAGGATCATAAGCGGGTTCTGTGGTGACAGCAGAGAGTGGGATGTGGGGCTCGAACTCACAAAACCGTGAGATACTAACCTGAGCTGAAGTTGGACGCTTGACCAACTGAGCCACCCAGGTCCCCCAACGATCAACTTTCTTAAACTTAGAGATTTGACAGCCACTTTTGATTTAAAATCATTTTAGCACTGGGTGTTGTATGGAAACCAATTTGACAATAAACTTCATATATTGAAAAAAAATCATTTATAACAATACTGAACATATTTAAGGATCTATACACTAATTCTAGTGAGAAAATGGCTAATTTTGCATTAGAGCCAATGAAAAGTCACTGCAGATCTTTTTTTTCCTTCCTTATGGATTCTTCACAAAAGGTGAGTTGGTAGATTTGTGATCACTCCCTATGATATCATAATGATGGATGTAAAAGAGAACTGTGTTTTACTTCCCGGGGCGCTGGCATCTTCTCCCATTTCTGTTCCTTTGTTTCCATATGTCTGTTTCAAAAAGTTGTAGCCCTGTCACTTAACTAGTTGGTGTGGTCCTCTCCAAGTCACTCAAGTCATTAGTTTACACATAGTTAAATTGAAATAATAATTCTTTCAGAATTGTTATAAGAATCTATCAGAATATTTTTGAAAGGGCTTTGAAAATGGTGAATGCCATGTATGTAAATGGTGATATTGAGTATCTCCTATACTCTCTTTACTTAATTATATTCTTTCCAGCCCTTGTAATGTTACTTAATACCCTTAAATTCTGTTACTAGTCATGAGGCTAGAGACAGCATTTTTAAAACTTTTGTTTCACAGTTAAGATTTGAAAACACATATGATTTGAGTCAGTAGATGCTTATTGTATCTCTGTCATGTTCTGGGTGCTGTGTGTACTTGCCAACATGGAGCAGGATAAGTCATGGATTATGCCTGATGGAGCCCACGGTCTAGCAGTAAAGGTGAGGTGTGTACCTGGATGTCTCTTTCTTCATGTGTTTCAGTTAAGCGTGGAAAGAAAGATTTGGGCCGTTCAAAGAATTAAGGCTGAGGTTTACCACAGATTTTGTTGTGAAGATGACCTTTGAATAGGGCTTTGAGAAATAGAATTTAGATAGTTTTGTTTTTTTTTTTTTTTTTTTTTTTTTTTTTTTTTTTTTTTTTTTTTTTTCCTGAGTGATGCAAGAAGATTAAGCCACGTTCTGGCCTCAGAGAAGTATTTTCTCTCTTTGTGACATGAAGGTGCTGTGTTTCCCTTGGCTCCAGTCTGAGCATGTCTGTATTTACCTTATCACATCACATGTATCCCCAGGAAGATGCTTTTGGAGTCTGGCTGGATGACAAGGACAAGGACCTATATATATGTATTATAATCCCTGGAACAAATCCTCCATAGTTGACAGGCAGTTGGCATTCTTTGTTCTTTCCCCACTTACAGTGTGGAATGTTTATTGTTTATATATACACTCTGGTTTGTGATGGGGATTTTATTCCTTGGGGCATTCTGTCCCCTGATTAATCCAATGGCAGAAGGTTTAAGCAAGGTGCTGCCTTCGTAGTCTGGCTGAACACAGTGCTCATGTGTAGCTGTTTCTGTGGTTAGTGTGTCACCATGCCGGCTGTACTCAAGTTTGAAAAGTTACATACTCGTATTCATGACCTGAGTTAAAGATAATCTGTTAGGGATTCACTTCATGTGGCTTTTCTGGTAAAGCAAGCATCTCTGTGTATTTGTGTGGGTGTGTTTTAGCATGCTAGGTGACTGTGTCTGTCTTCCTTCCCTTTTTGGACTTTTAGGTGTCCACCGTGTAGGCACATCGAACTCAGGGAGCATGGACCGCGTGCTGTTCTTTGGCTGTAGTCAGTGGTATAAGGCCCTCTTCAGTTGGGGCGGAAGTGGCTTGGGGCTGCCTTTAGAACTTTGGGTCTCTGGTGCTGTGCACAGGAGATTTGAAAGTTGTATAATTAAAGATACGAATTGCAAAGCCACAGTCCCTCAGCCCTTCTTCTACTTTTTCAGTGAAACTTGTACTATAATAAAAATGAAACAAACGATAGGAACTTAGCTAATTTTATATACCGGAAAGGAATTTAAAACGGTAAAATGTGCTTACTAGAGTTTGGTGGTTGGTCCTTTTTTTTTTTTTTTTTTT